GAACATCTCTCAATCCCAATTTCTTGTAGACTGGGTATGGAATCAAATTAATTCTTGCTCCAAGATCATAAAGTGATTTATCGAATCTGTACATCCAATGACACATGGAATGGTGAAGCTTCCTGGATCATCCCTCTTTTCTGGTAATTTATTCTGAATCACAGCACTTCATTCAGAAGTAAGGGTTACCTTCTTTAGATCAGCCCATTTGCGCTTCTTGTTCAGCAACTCCTTTAAGAATTTAGCATATGTTGGCATCTGTTCAAGTGCCATCGCTAGTGGTATGTTGATCTGAAGTTGCTTGAAGAGATTCACAAATTTTTTTAAGTTTGGGTGGTTCTTCCATGGGCTTCATTAACCTCTGAGGGAATGGTGCAGGAGGTTCATAAGGCTTTACCTCTTCATCCTTGAATTTTTCCACCTTTGCAGGTTCACAAGAAGAATGCTCATGCACAGGCAGATTGTATGCAGTTTCCCTGTGCAAGACAGATTTTTCAGCATATGTAGGCATCTGTTCAAGTGCCTTCGCTAGTGGTATGTTGATCTGAAGTTGCTTGAGAGATTCATAAATTTTTTGAAGTTTGGGTGGGTCTTCCATGGGCTTCATTAACCTCTGAGGGAATGGTGCAGGAGGTTCATAAGGCTTTACCTCTTCATTCTTGAATTTTTCCACCTTTGGAGGTGCACAAGAAGAATGCTCATGCAAAGGCAGATTGCATGCAGTTTGCCTGTGCAAGACAGATTTTTCAGCTTTTCCACTTTCTTCATCCTTACCTCTGCAGCTCCTTCTTTTTCTGTTTTCGGTGATATCCTCGAACTCTCTGAGTCCTCCAAGGCCTTTCCACTCTTCAATGTGACAGCTAAAACCATGACGTCCTTCGGATTCCTCTAAGTATTTGCTGGTAAAGTCCTAGGAATCCTACCTTGAATATCTGCCAGAGTTTGAACCATCTGGCCTATTTGCCTCTCCGTAGCTAGCAGAGATGATTGCACATTGTTATTGTCTTTCTGATAGTCAGCTGTTGAGTGACATATTGATCCAAGCCCTTCATATTATTATCTGTTTTCTGCATATGAGCCAAAATCAACTTCTCTAGTTGTGGCTTCTTCTCAGGTTGAGATAATTTTCTTATTCACTTCTTCTTGATTGATGAATGAAATCCCCAATGTACATATTTATTGTAAAAGACACCCAAAACCCTAAAATGAGTCCTAATTCTACTCGGACACAACCGGCTGCCTAACCCCCTACTAACCCTTATATTTATGTTTCTAACAATTCACCCCCCTTAAGACCAACCTTGCCATCAAGGTTGATTGACTTGACCCACTTCTCTGCACCTCTAGCGATGTCCACACCCGGCTCGTCCACTTGCTACATTTTCTTTTCTTCCAATCCGGTTCTTGGACTCAGACCAACCTTCTCACCATGATCTTCGGGAACTTCTCACTTGATACTAATGCCACGCAGAGTGTCCAATCTTCACTTCTTTGGAGAATTCAAACACCAATAACCCTCTTTCGTTGACAACATACTCTAGTAACTTAAGAAATTCAATTGTACTTTCTATACAAGAATCCATCCTTAAGTAGTAGCTCATCAAGAGCTAGCCCATTAATTTGCTCCATTAGTCCTCTAATCCATGGTCCATGATAATAAACATGATAATAAACAGGACACCCAAAAACTTTCAGTGAAGAGTAATCAGCAGGCTTACTATACCACACCTCATAAGGAGTCTTCAACTCGATAACTGTGTGAGGTCCACGGTTGATCAGGAAGCACGACATGTTCACTTCTTCTGCCCAGAATCTTCTCTCTAGTCCAGCATTAGAGAGCATGCACCGTGCTCTCTCCAACAATGTCGGGTTCATCCTTTCTGCAACGCCATTCTGCTAGGGTGTATCTCTCACAGTCCGATGACGGGCAATCCCTTCATCCTTGCAGAATTCGTAGAACTCAGAATTACAGAAGTCCAGATCATTGTCCGTTCGCAGCTTCTTGATCTTCTTCCCGGTCTGATTTTCCACCAATGTCTTCCACTGCTTGAACTTCGTGAAAGCCTCACTTTTTTGCTTCATCATGAAAATTCAAGTAAATCTCGAATAATCATCAATAATAGACAGAAAATACCTGCTGCCTCCAATGGATTCAACTCGTGAAGGACCCTAACAGTCGGAGTGGAGGTAATCTAGTATCCCCTTCGTCCGGTGGATACCCTTCTTGGGAAACTTGCTGCGATGTAGCTTCCCAAACACACAATGCTCGCAGAATTCCAAATTCTGTATCTTGTGCCCGCAAAGAAGATCCCTCTTCGACAGAACTTGCATACCCCGTTCACTCATATGCCCCAGTCTCATATGCCAGAGAGTGGTCATATCTTCCTGATGAACCTGAGATTATGCAACTGCAGCAGAACCAGACAACACAGACTCTTGTAATGCATACAAGGTCCCACGCTTCACGCCCTTCAGCACCTTCCTTGAACCTTTGTAGACATACGCAACTCCACCTTTTCCTTTGAAACTGAAACCTTTGCTGTCGAGTAGACTCAAGGAGATCAGGTTCTTTGTCATTCGTGTAACATGTCTGACATCATTCACGGTACAGAACGAACCATCATGTGTCCGAACCTTTATGGACCCGATTCCAACAACCTTGCAGACAGATCCATTAGCCATTACCACGTTACCACCATCTATCTGCTCGTAGGTTGTGAAGCAACTCCTGTTCGGAGACATATGGTATGAGGTTGCAGTATCCAGAAACCACATATCACCACGATGTGCCTTCTCATCTACAGCCAAGGCGAGATCGTCTTCAGAACTGTTGTCCACTTCTGCCACGGCAACTGAACATTGTTTCTTCTGTTGCCCTCTTCTCTTGGGACAGTTGTACTTCCAATGCCCCACTTCCTTACAGTTGTGACAAGCATCACCTGGCTGTGGACCGGGACCCTTGGAATTCTTGTTCGAATTCCCTTTACCAGATTTCTTCTTTCCCTTTCCACCTGTAACAGCCAAACCCGATGCCTCACCACCTGTACCAGATCTGGACGCCTTATGTCTGATCTCTCTCGTATGAAGAGCAGACCTGACATCTTCCAACGACACGCTTTCTTTACCGGCAATAAAAGAGTCAACGAAATTCTCATATGAACTCGGCAAAGAAACCAGCAGGATTAGGGCAGCATCCTCGTCATCAACTTGAACATCTATATTACGTAGATCCAGCAAAATAGAGTTAATCTGTTCGAGATGTTCCCTCAAAGGCGTACCTTCTTACATCCTCAAGCAGAACAACCGTTGCTTGAGATGCAGCTTGTTGGTTAGAGATTTAGTCATGTACAGACTCTCTAGTTTCAACCACAAGCCCGCGGCAGTCTTCTTAGCAGCGACTTTAATGATGACGTCATCAGACAACGATAGCATGATGGTCGAGTGGGCCTTCTCCTCCAGGGTATTCCACTCATCGTCATCGACCGCTGCCTTCTTCTGTTTCGCAGACAGCGGCCCCCACAGCCCTTGCTGTTTTAATAAAGCCTGCATCTTGATCTGCCATATAGCGAAGCTGTTCTTCCCCGTGAACTTTTCGATCTTCATGTTCACCGACGTCATTCTTCTGAATAGAAAAAAAAAACCCTAGCCTGATTTCCAGCCGCGGCTCTGATACCACTTGTTATAAACGCGCTGCTACGGATCGGGAAATCGCAGGAATCGACAAAGCAAGAATACGAAAGCGAGAATCAAAAACACGACACACGATTTACGTGGTTCACTAACTAGATGTGTGTTAGCTACGTCCACGGGCGAGAGAGAGCCAATTTCACTATATCGAGGAGATTACAGATTACAGAGGAGTATGAGAAGTATTTATAGTACTTCTCCATGTGGGTCTAAAGCTAATCCAATCTGACAAAGGAAATGGTTACAGACCAGGCCCAAAACCCGATTACCAGTCGTAGCGGCTGATAGTCGGATCAAGTCATATCAACAATTCAATATCCCAGAAAATATAAAATAATATAAAATAATGACAATTAAGAGTTATGAACATAAATAAAAGTCTAGAGATATTCCATGGCAACTAATCAAATATGGAGCAACCATCATAACATCCCAACCAAGCAAAGAAGCAATCTACGTTACCTCCTGAAAAATCCGCTACTACTCTTTGGATTCCTCTGCTCAAGCCGAAGATAGCATCATGGGAAACCAACAGCCGAGAAACCTGTTTCAGAAACTGTAAGTAGAAATCCTGAAGATATTCTGGAGTTGTTTCACCGAAGCCATATGAGAGTAGCTAGTCAGCACATCCATAGATGTAGGAAGTATATATTTTATTCCTCCAGATGAAGAAAAAAACATATATGTCCACTGTCCAGCACAGATCACCTTCAACTTCTTTACCAAAATAACAGCTGTGAAAAGATTATAAATTTAAGGCGCACCTGTTATCAGTTACTAATCAGTACCATTTCAAGAGCTGCCTGAAAAGCTCAAGAGCACAACTGGAACTAGCCAAACACAATGCTAATGAATGGTCTCGTGGGACCCAAGGCTGACAGGTTATAATCCGTAACCACAGGGGAAAATATAAGAAACCTTACAATAAGAAGTTACAAGTACAGTCATGAGATGTTCCTTACTATGACAGAATTTGCAGGTGCATGGATGCTACAATAGCATTGACTACTTAAGAAACACTTGTGTGGTTCTCAAATGATTAATCGATCTGTTGTTCTAAGGCACACACTTCTTAAATCGGATAGATGCTACTAGGTGAGAAAATCAGAACTCAATCAAATACAAGATTGAGGGTACAATAGACACATGCTTGGGCTGTTACCAAAACGTTCTTTTTCTCAGCACTCAGACTCAGAATGAATTTTCTCAAGAAAGGCATTTGACTTTATCCCTAAGGCAAGGGTTCCAAGCCATACTATAGAAAGATTTGATTGCATATGAATGAAACTGACAAAGTAGACAGGGAGGGTTCTCATTCACACATTTCTTCATTCTCCGCCTGGGACTTGAAATGAGATGGACTAACTATTACTTCTGATCATAAAAGCAAAATAAGTTAGTTCAATAAACAGGCAAGATCTATGGGTCAGCCTGTATCAGGTCGCCCAAATGATCACTGGAATAAATTAACCCTTCCCCCTTATTAACAGCCACAGTGAAACAATATAACAGGGGTGCAAGATTATCCATTCTACATCACACTCATATGCAGCAGTGCAGAATAGTAACTCTCAAAGCAAATTGAACCATAATTTGGTTCATAACACAATTCACCTAAACTATGCCTAATCCAGCACTTCATCCTCTAGAGGTGAAGAAGTACATGTGAAACTTGAACATATTGAAGAAACCAAACTAAGCTGCAGTCCACCATAATTGCACACTTCTTCATAACACCAGCAAGGCCTATTAAAGAACACTAATCATCACGAAGCTATGTGTGCAGACAGTTGATACTCAATCACATGGAGAAAGGTATAGGTATATTCTGAAACTCAGTGAATTAAATCGATAACTAACATTGATATCTTGAAGAAAAACTTCAAAATGTATACAGGAAAAGAAAAACCTCCCTTTCTAAGCCAGAAAGTCGCATCTCTACAAATGAAATCAGCTGGAACCAACATGATTTTATGACGGTAACAGCTCTAACCCATATAAGACATTGGCGTACTTCTCCACAGCTCCATCCTCCCTATTGTTGAAGTGCTTCTCCCTCATTTTCTGAAATGCGTGGAGCGTGGCCAAACTATCCGAGCCAGCTTGGTGACTCTTACCAGTAACCCTTTCCACGCCCAAAGTCTTACATGTCCTGTCCAGACCTCCAAACAAATTCGCCACAAACCTCATCAGATGTTTGATGTCATAAACCCTATCGCCAAAGAGCATCCTCACTATGTCCAGAAACTCGGTTAACCTATCCGGCAATGGGCGCTGGGTCAAACACTTGACCAAGTAACCGAAATCATAAGCGCTGTGAAAAGTCACCCAACTAACTGAATCATTTAACACGAGGCCCGAAGAAATCATCACCTCGGCGAATTTCACTGCCTCGATACCGTCCTTGGTGTTCTTCTCGAAGTCGATCCCTTGCCTTCTCAAGAGATCGACGGAGTCATGAGCGTGCGAGTCGCGGGTCACGTCAAAATCCTTGAAATTGAATTCCCAAATGAAGAAAGTAATCCCGGTGCCGAGATCCGGCAGATTGCCCTCCCGATCAGCGATCGTAAGCCCTACCTGGATCAGTTTCAGCATGTCAACGTTGGCCTTAAGGCTCGCGTACCGCGCCGTCGGATCCTGAAGCCGGTAACTCTGCTCCACACCAGGCGGCCGCATCACCACGCCGGGGAACTCGGTGTCCATCGAAATCAGCGGGTAATCCTCGACGACAGTGCGGATCAGAGCAAACTCCAACTCCAGATTATCGGCCCAAACAGATCGGATCACCACCGGCCGGCGGTACGAAGCCATAACCTGTCTCGATGGAGAATGAAAAGGCGGCGGCGACGAGGACAGGGATTCGTCATCAGCGACGTCGGCCATTTTTTAGATACGGAGGAGAGGATCGGCGTTAAAATGCAACGCATCCAAATCTGGATTGTGGAAGGCCGGATGGTTCCAGGTTTTTTTCCTGCTTTCTTTTGAGGTTACCGTCGAGGCAAGGGAAAGCTGAGAGTGGCGGAGAGCGGAGGAGGTTGGAAGGGCGCGGTGGGCGACGAGACCTTTATAGTCAAAGAGAAACGGCAAAGGGCAAGGTTGTCAACCCGCGGGTTGACCCGGACCCTGTTGAGCTAGTGGGTCAAGGGTTAATGGGTCACCCGTTTTAGCCCGGAAATATGGAAAGCGTCATTATATTATACTTATCCTGATAAATTATATCAAATCTCATCTAACATATGAGTTATAACATATAATATTACACCAAAATAACATTTCGTACTTAGATTCAACATATAGTGAAAATTCACACACACTTATATAACATTAATATTCAAATGTTCAACTTAGGATACCAAAGATTGAGTTAGGAGAAAAGAAAAATCGGAAAATAAGCGCATTTCGCAAAAAAAAGAAAAAAATGACACAGTTTAACCTCCAACCCAGTACCTTGTAGCGGTCGACCCGGCAGGTACGTGCGGCCCGTTTTTCTCACCGTGTCAGGATCAAAGTGGGTCAACCCGCGGGTCGACCCGTGGGTTGACAACCTTGGCAAAGGGGGAAGAGGAAGGGGCAACAAACGTGGGCTTATTACATACGGCGGTTCCATTGGCTAACATTTTAGTTTTTTTCATCTTAGCGTAATTCCAACGAACTCAATTGAGAGAGTAAGTCGTAATATTTTCATAGATATAGGGACAATAATAAGATAAGGGCTTAAGTTTTGATGAATCGCTTTTTAGTCTCTGTACTGTGTAAATTTGACAAATAGATCTCTATTTAATGAATTTTAACAATGGATAGTACTATTATCACTAACCAGCCGTAACAGAAAATCTCTATGGTTAGAGGTGACAAATGGATTGAATTTATAGATTGGTATATTGATAAATTTATGGATTGGGGTTCCATGGATTCAAGAATCCAAATGACATCTAAACATTGCATAATTATGTAAATTTAAAAAATTTCATGTACTAAATATCATAACAAAATATTTTAGATACCAAACATAATTTCCAATGATATTTTATGTCAAAAAATAAAATTTTGGTATCAAATGTAAAGAGATAATTCCACTAGAACACCCCCAACTATAAAAATATGTCACTTTGTCCTAAACTATTGGGTTAATGACATAAATATTGTATTTTTTTTAATTTACCGTCAATATGACTGATTTAAAAGTATTTACACAGTTATTGTGTTTTGGAGAACAAATTGGGCGAGAACGCCTGAGACTCAGGCGCTGCCACTGTCCAAGTTTTTTTGGATCATTTGATAAAGGTGGCAGCGGCGACGCCCAAGACTAAGGCGAGTAGCTGAGAATTTGTACCTAGCGATGGCGCCCAGGACTATGGCAGGTCCGCTGGCGTATTGCTGGCTCCCCTATAAAAACCAGCGAATTTCGTTTCAGTTGCTCACCACAAAAAAAATCGACGAAGTTAGAGGAGGAGAAGCTCTGGTTGCTGCTGCAGAAATGTCTAATAGGTAAGAGACACATTTATTTTTTTTTAGGGTTAATATTTTCGTATGGCCTGAACTTTGACCAAAATAAACATCCTGGCCAATCTTTTCGATCTATAACATCCTGGCCGAACTATACACCAAAATAAACAATTTGGCCGAACCCCGATGTTTGACCGTTAACTTGATCGATCAAACGCGTTGACTAACGGTCAACGCGCCACGTCACTGCCAAGTCAGAAGATCTGATAAATATTTAAAATTAGGGAATGTGTGGAAATTGTGAATTATTTTAAATATTTTATGCTGACTTGGAAGTGACATGGCGCGTTGACTAACGGTTAACGCGTTTGACCGTCCAAGTTAACGGTCAAAAGTCGGATCTAGCCAAATTGTTTATTTTGGTGTATAGTTCGGGCCAGGATGTTATAGATCGAAAAGATTGGCCAGGATGTTTATTTTGGTCAAAGTTCAGGCCATACGAAAATATTAACCCTTTTTTTAATTATATTCTTCAAATGCTATTATGATTTTGTTTAGTTAATTAGTGAGTTTGTTTTTCTGTAGTGATTTTAGAAGATTTGAACTAGTCGTTCGGTGGAAATCGGAGAAAGTAGAGGATAATTTTGGCGTCAAATTCGTTGGTGGTAGTTGTTTTCAGTTGACGGTTCCATCCAGGGTGACATATCACAAACTTTGTGAGAATCTAGTTCCGAGAATATGGCGTAGAGACAAAGCAGTACAAGATAGTGAAGTGATCACAGGTTTCACTTACCGTCTTCCATAATGGCAGAATGGTGTTTTATTTCATTATTCGATGCCTATTATGAATGATGATAGTTTGAATGTGCTTTTCGATTTTATGGCACAAAACCCTTGTTGTTTGGGTGCTGAGATACATGTTGAGCTTAGTGAGAATCGGGATGGAGAGGAAGAAGATACATGGAGCATGCCTAGGGATGGCAACTTTGCCCATAACCATGGGTTTCTTACTATCCAACCCAATTGGGTTGGGTATGAAATCCAAATAGGTGGATATGGGTAGAGTTTGATGGGTTTGTACCCATACCCATTTACTTTGGGTTGAGTTGGGTTTATATCAAATGGATTTGGGTTTGTACCCATGCCCAAATACAAATCACAGTTTGGTACCCAAACTTAATAGACATGCATATTTAGTACCTAAATTTAATTTTTTTTTGCATATAAGTACTCAAAATATCGATGGAAAATTACGTTTTGGTACCTAAATTTTTTTGATCTTACATTTTGGTACCTAAACTTTTCAAGTTTTGCAAATAGGTCCAATTTTTGCATGTGTAGTTAAAACACCCTCAAGTAAATGGATATCCATATCCAACCCATGCCCATTTAGATTATGGAAGCCCCAAACCCAAACCCATCTATAAACCCCCAAATCCATATGCACTTCACCCATACCCAACCCATTATCAATGGGTATACTTGGGTTTGGGTAAAATTACCCATGGGTGGGTAATTTGCCATCCCTAAGCATGCCATGTGATCATGACGATGTTCACGGAGATGAGGAAGATGCGGAGGAGAATGGCGAAGGAGAGCAGCCTAATTATCCTCCATATTTTTACTTGCAGGGTATGAAGAGGATGACGAATTATCATATGCTGATTCATATGGCGTAATTCCAATGCCTATTGTTGCTAGTTTTGAAGGGGAATTCTACAAGGGGCAGATATTTCACTCAAAACAAGCTGCACAAGTGTCAATTAAATACCACGCACTACAACGTAACTTTGAATATAGCGTGGTGGAGTCGTCACCTTCAATCTGGAAGGTCAGATGTTTGAAGCACAAGGATGACAATTGTCCTTGGATGGTGCGATTTGGATGTCGAGATGTTGAAAGCGATTGGACTGTGAGAAAGGTCGAGTTGGTGCATTCTTGTAGTAGTACGACTCAACCGACAGATCATCGCCATCTTGATGTCGATATTATATCTGAGTCCGTCAATCATTTGGTACGTGCCCAACCAAATCTGAGTGTTCTAACTGTGCAAGCCGGGTTGAAAGATAAATTTAATACGCAAGTTACTTACAAGAAGGCTTGGTAAGGGAAACAAAGAGCATTGAAGAAGTTGCATGGAAATTGGGAAGAATCCTACGATTATTTGCAAACATTCTTGCGGGTGGTAAAGAGAAAAATGCCAACATCAGTGATTGATTGGGTAAGAGTTCCTTCAGCTCAACCAGGTCATTCGATCTTTCAGCGAGTATTCTGGGCTTATGGACCTTGTATAGATGGATTCAAGAATTGTCCAGGAGTCATGGTTGTTGATGGAACATTTCTTACTAGAAAGTATAAAGGAGTGCTACTCATGGCGAGCTCATTTTATGGCCGGAAGAAGATTTTTCCAATAGCATTTACCATCGTGGAAAGCGAGAATACTGATAGTTGGCCATGGTTCGTAAATCACCTTCAAGGTTTGACAGATCGAAATGATGTCTACATCATCTCATATAGACATGCGGGACTCTATGAAGCCATGAGTGACATTGGAATAGGTTGGGAATGGAGGTGGTGCATGCGACACTATGCAAGCAACTTGCAAAGAAAGACTAAAAGCAAAATTATGTATAAGCAACTATTTCGAGTCGGTAAGCCTTCTTCATTTAATTTGTTAATTATTTTAATGTATTAATTTTGTCATGAATTTATCTAACTCATGTGGTTATTTACTTTGTTAGCCGGAGAAAAACGCTTGGAGAAGTTTGATCGTCAAGTTGAGTAATTTAAGAAGGTCGCCGCTGATAGAAATATTTCTTGTATAACTGGGTAGACCAACATCAAATTCGTTGGAGCTTAGCACATGATCACTATAATGGTGGGCGTCGATGATCTATCTTGTCATCCTACATGGCAGAAGGCATCAATAGTGTTTTCAAATGTATTCATTCACTTACTATAGCTTCTCTTGTGCAACATACTTATTGGCGATTGTTGGAGAAATTCGATAAGATGAGATTGGAGATAGAAGCACAAATCAGAAGTGGTCGTTCACAGTACACCATCAAGTGCAAAGAGATGATGAAGCCATGTTCACAAAAGGCAGTTGGACATTCCGTGACGGGGGTTGATCGACGTCAAGGCATCTATGTAGTTCAGACTCCTCCCAACAATTTCAACATGACGGGTTCGAACACACTCATAGTGCACTTCGACAACAACAACCGGGCGGGATTTTGCACTTGTGGGAAATTTCAAGGAAATAAAATTCCTTGCTCTCATGCCATTGCAGCTTGCAACCGAATGGGGGCTAATCCGTATAGGTTTGAAAACGATGTCTACAAGTTTGAAACAGTGTTGGCTTGTTATAGGACAAGTTTCACACCTCTTGGTGAACCTAAGGATTGGAAGAACCATAATGGTCATATTCTCCATCCTAATGTGCACATGATTAGGAAGCCAGGGAGGCCACGAGTTACAAGAATTCACAACGAGTTGGATTGGCCAAGAGAGGGTGTATCACAACAAGTGTGTAGCAACTGTAACTAAAGTGGCCCATAATGCATCAACTTGTGGTGGCCAAGCAAGTGGGAGTGGTAGCCAGCGAAGAGGAAGTGGTGGGCAATGACGTGTGAGAGGTGGTGGAAGAGGAAGTAGTGGTAATTGACGTGGTATGTAGTTTGGTCGAATTTAGTAGTTGTTATGGTTTGAAGTAGTGGTTGTTTTTCAAGTAGTTGTTATGGTTTGAAGTAGTTGTTGTTTTCCACTTGTAGGTTGTTGATGTTGTTTTTCCTCTGTTTGCGGCGGGGTGGCTTCTGTCTGGGGTGACGGCGGCGTGGCGGGTCTGGTTTTTCGGGCGAGAGTGGTGGCGGTTGGGGGGTGTGGTGTGGGGGGAGGAAGAAGAAGAAGATAAGAAAGGCTGGCTGCTAGGTTTTTAAAAAAATGACTGGTGGACGGCGGGGCGCTGGAGACTCAAACCCCAACGCCTATTACTGGTTTTATAAATTCAAAACGCGACCCTGCCTGAGTCTCTGGCGGCCGCGCCTACAACCCTACACAAATACACTATATTTGTGTAAATAGTTTTTAATCCTTGATGGTAAATTAAAAAAAGGCAATATATATGTCATTAACCCTAAACTATTCCACATGACTTAAATTGGATCAATTTCAAGTTTGTCATAGAAATTATTAAAAAAACTTCGCCTACGATCAATTTTATTTTCACTAACTTTAAGTTTTGATAAATCTCTTTTTAGTCTACGTACTGTCTAAATTTGACAAAGAGATCCATGGATAGTACTGTGATGTCTAGGGTTTGGATTCAGGTTCAACATGAACTACCAGGAGAATTGGATCAACATGACAAGTCGAATTGGCATTTTGTTTCACCATGTTTGGATCAAGCTGGGGAGTAAAAAGGGCAGTGAGACACTTATGGTTACACGAGTGCTGCAAGCTAGGGAAACTTATTTGAGAAAAAGGTACCAACGAAGTTGTTATAGTAAGAATAGATGATCGTGGGAGGGAAGTATAAGAAGGGTGTGGATAGAAGGATGAGTTCCGAGCAAATTTCGTGGAAATTTTTTTTTTGTAAGGGTGGAGGAAATGTAACACCCCGGTATTTTAGATTTAGGTTCGACCTTTAATACGTGATCGGTTGGGTTGACGGTTGCGTACTAAGAGTTACAATCGCGGATTAAGAATAATAATATTATAACATTATTTTTATTATAATATTAATATTTTTTTTAATAAAAAAAATATATACAAAGGGAAGGGGGCCGAGCGGCCAAACCCTCCCCTCCCCATTTATATTAAAATCCCCATCCTCCCCCCTTTTATTCCCAGCAGCAGCAGCAACTTCCACCCGCCGCCCTCTCTATTTATTCGCCCAATCAAATAAACGCCGCCCCTGCTCCTCGTCACGACGAGGGGAAAAGAAGAAGGGGTCGCCGATTCCGATCTCGATCCCAATCTCAATCTGAATCTCATCCCTTTCATGTTTCTAGGTAAGGATCACGAACCCCTTCGCGATTTCTAAACTCGATTTATCGGTAGACTAATCCGAAGCTCGTATTTTTATTAGCGGTGACGTTGAGGGTTCGATCAACAAGGAGATCAACGTCCCGGGTCATCCAACCTAGGCCTAGGCACGTTCTAGAGGTAAGGGAACTCGATCCCTTTGGGTTAGATCGATCGATTTGGTGATTTTTTGTGAGGGTGCAATTCTGAGTTTTTAGCAACAGGCGTTACAGGCTTTTAGAGACAGATTTTGGGTGGTCACTAAAGCTGCTGGGAATTTCCAGAAACGTATTTTTAGATATTTTAAATTGTTTTGAGTCTCTCTGAAGGTTGTTTTCTGAATTTAATAATTTTATAAACTGCGCAACGTCTAGGACATGATTTTAATTTAACTTAGGGATTTTTGAAGATGTATTTCTATTTTTAGAAATTGTTCGAATATTTGTTTTAATTAAGTAAAACTCTTTCCGAGGGGTTTTAAAGGGTTTGATAATTTACCAGCTGCTCATGATTGACATGGGAAAATTATTGTCCAAACTTATAAGAAGGTTCAAGATAGGTTTAAAAATTCGTCCAAGATAAACATAGTTAAGAAAAATGGTCGTTTTTGAATGGATTAATTCTAGAAAATTTTAATGGGGTTAAAGGACCTTTGGAATGAGGTTCAAAGACTGGAGTTTGAGGAGAGGATGTTCTAGTGATTCAAAAGGGGTTTTCAATCGAGAAAGGTCGTCTAAGAAAATGGATTCTTATTAATAGGTTTCCCCAAGATAATCAGGCTAAGGAGGGGTTTCTTCGAGGAAGGAATTGAGGATTCATCTTTTCGAGGTGAGTGTAAAGGGAGTAAAATCTCAGTCGTAGGCCTTTTAATTTACGCCTGCTATTTCAAGTTATTATTTAGTTAATTTTCTAGTATGCGTGATATGTGTGTGAGGCATCCCACCGCCTGTAAGGGTGGAGGCACGCGTTGTGCTATGTATGAATGTATGTATGTTTGTATGGTTGATGGTATGAGGAACCCCCGGGCGGTTGGGCCACTACTGGACGCGGTAGATGGGCGGGTCACTGCTGGACGGCGAGAGGTAACGCAGCAGTCGATCAAGTATGTTGGGGTCACTACTGGACGGCGAGACGTAACGCAGTAGTTGACGGGCATGGATTGGACGGTGAGATGTAACGCGGTTGGCATACTAGGGTAGGACACCGGACGGCGAGACGTAACGCGATGGTCCCAGTGTTTTGGTGTTTGAGTTAAGGATAAAAGTTGAGAACCTCTATGAGTTAAAGTTGAAAGGATTTATTAAGAACCTAAGTAAGGGAATTCTAAAGATAAGATAAGATAAGAGTAGAGATCTCTTATAGACTGTTTGATAGTAAAGTTTAAAGGATGAAAGTGAGAACGACTTTCCTCTAAGGAAGGCATTCCCCTAATAATGTGTTTAGTAAGGAGTTTGCCTAGGGCAAAGACCTTAGGAAGTAACGACGAGACTAACCCCTTCTCACTCACCAGGTTGAGGATAGTATAACAGAAGTGGATCACGAGAAGAAGCAGGGCGAGGCGAGCAGCAGTACCAGCGTCGACGGGATATCGAAAAGCTCATGAGGAGTCAAGTTAGATTAGTTAATTATTCTGTCTCATGGTTATTAGTATAAACTGGAGATTCTGTGTTAAGTCGTTTTAAGTGTTTGAGATTGAGAATTTTGCCCAGGTGTTGGGGCTTTTCGTTAAGAATTCTTAAATGATGTCAGTTTGTTTATTTTAAAATGTGGTTTGGGTTGCTCCGGAGTAACCGGTTTTTGGTTTGAGTAATGGTTTGGTTTTTGAAAAGAGACAGGACGTGTCAAGTACTCTTATCATGTGCCACACTAACCAGTAGGACTGAAAATAATCGATTAGAGGTGTCAAATAGATTGAATTTTATGGATTGGTGAATTCATGAGTTTGGATCAAATTGATTGGTGGATTCATGGATTGGTATATTGGATTAATGGATTCAAATGACATCTAAACATTGGATCAATATATAGATTTCAAAAACTTTAGGTAGTGAATTGTCATAATAAAATATTTTAGGCATGAAACATAATTTTGTAAACGATATTTGATGTAAACAAAATTAAATTTTAGGTATCAAAGTGTAAAATATATATATTAACAATACTAAGCTATAATTTTTTAAATTTCCATGAATTATGGCTTCACATGAGCCGAGTCGAGTTTTTTCTAAGTTTGAGCTCGACTTGTTTTTTAACGAGCCGATCTGGGCCGAGTTTTGCCAAAACTTGAGGTTGGCTTGTTATGAAACGAGCCAAGCAGAAGCTCAATTCATTTATATGTCTAAACGATTGAACCCTTAAATTAAACTCTAAATAATTTATAATTTGAATAATGTAATATTTTATGTCATATATGATACATGGTTAATGAAAAAAAGAATAACAGTCAATGTTCATCACTGATTGATCTCATGTTTATATACTATGTTGGTTTAAACCATTATACATTATGGGATATATAATATAAAAAACATATGAATTATTAAGAAGCCACATCATAAGTTATATAAATATTGATTCGCTCATAAGTCGTTAGTTGAACTAACTCGCAAACCACACTGTCAAGCCAACTCACTAGTTGACCTCAATGAGCCACTCAATCGAGTTAGCTCGCGAGCCTCGTGAGTCGAACAAGGTTGAGCTTAGACTCTATTTTTTTACTAACGAGTCCGAGATACAAATGAGATTTTCCCAAATCAAGCGTAAAGCCACTCATGAGCAAGTAGGCTCATTTACAGCTCTATAATCGATTTGGATCAAATGAAGAGTGGAAGATAACACAAAAGCGGAAGAGTGGAGCTAGAAAATTAGACAACAATGAAAAATGAAGAGCTACTAGGCTGACTGACTCGTTCTAACTACAACATGCAACAATTCAAGGTCAATGCCAATAACCACAAGATTCTCCTACAAACCGGCCACTTTGATCATGCAAACATTGCTTGGAGCCCACAAATTTTTTAAAATTTGGGCATACAACAAGACTTCAAGCATTCAAAATCACACCAATCATTCACACAAACATCCATAATGGACTACCCCCCCCCCCCCCCCCCCCCCCCCCCCCCCCCCCCACTTAAGCTTGTCATTGCCCTTAATGGCATAAAGTAAGGAGGTAGAACGATGTTATTGGATACGATGTGAATGTTGGTGGTAGGGATCGGAGGTAGATGGGTTGCCTCCCACCACCAAAATCTCTCCAATGGTCTTTTTATTGGAGTGGAAAGCAAACAAACTGATGGTAGATAGGTTGCCTCCCACCAAGCGCTTCTTTAACGTCGTGAGCCGGACGATTGCTTCTCAAGTTTCAGTCCACCCTAGAACCTCCTTGAAGTTGAGGTTCTCGTTGGTGAGGTGGTGTCTCAAGTCACGAGCATTGGACGAGTCCACGATAGAGGGCTCGTGAACTTGAGTGGCTTTGAGGCTCCACCCACGAGACCTCTTCTTCTTTCCTTCTTCCTTCTTCTCTTTGCTCCACACCATGTAATGTATCATCGATTTACCACCATCGCATCCACCAAGAGGGATCACCAATGGTTTGGCCTTGGCTTGGCAAAGAGCCACAAATGGGTCCTTCTCGGGTGGAAAGCTTTCATAGTCCTCGTAACTTGTGCATGCTTCATCCACCTTGACCTCGTCCTCATCTTGGACGCCACTTGCTCCTTCTATTTCATCTTCAACCTCTCTTCCTTTTTATTTAATTTCCTCCCCTTGGGAACACTCGAGATCTTCCCCCTCTTCAATGCTTTCTTCCTCCTCTTCAACCTCTTCCTTCTCGTTCCCATTCGTGTCCCCAAGCACGGCTTGGAGGACAAGATGCCATGCAAGATCATAGAAGGGATTCTCTTGCTCCTCCGCACTTGTGTCTTGGTCTTCAAAGTTTCTTTCGGGAAGGGGAGGATGATGGGAGTCGTCAATGCAACCTTCTTGTTCGTTCTCACCACGGGAGCTCTCCAGGGTGAGTTCTTCTTGCTCCACACAGTTGTCATTGATCGGTCCTTCAACCTCCTCTTTCTCCTCCAATGACGAGAGGTGATAGCTTGCACAAGCACGTGCCACCTTCTCTTCCAATAATGAGAGGCGATAGCTTGCACAAGCTTGTGCCACCTTTTCTTCTAGTGTCAAACCGGGAGGAGGGTGGGTTGGAAATACGTGTTGGAGCTTGTACTTGCAAAATTATCCATGGAACTTGAACTTCGCTTCGGGTTGTGGGAGATCCAAGTTCGAGCACCCTTCATCGGTGCCTCGAACAAACCGCTCCACCATAAGCTCCAATTGGCTCTTCGGCTCTGGTTGTGGAGTGGGACATGGTCTTGAAGATTGTCCCATGAAAGCTTCCATTGCCAAATCCAACTTGTATTTCTCCTCGACTTGTGGAGGAAAGTTTTCTTCGTATGCGGAAGCCTCTTGATACCCCCATTGGTATGGTTGTTCTTCTTGGAAGGGAGGTTGATCATAGAATCCGGTTCCTTGACTTCCACCTTCTTGGTCACTCCATGAAGCTCCGGGTTTACCCCCATTCGGGTGGTTGTGGATACCCCCGCATGCTCTAGAAGCCATTGGCATCCATGATTCAACCTACATAAACAAAAACAAAATCAAACAAACACAAGCCACCCTTCTAAGAGAAGAGTGGGTCATCAAACACAAAACACAAAACAAAACGGCTAAAGTAACGACCTAACCCCTTTTCAAATAACCTAGAATGGTTCCCCGGCAACGACGCAAAAATTTGACTCGTTCTAACTACAACATCCCGATCGACGACCAAGTATAACCGCCGACCGGGTGTAGTATAGGGCAAGCAAGAAATAAAGATTTATCGTACCACGAGGATCTTGGCATACTGATAATCGGCTTAAATATATCAGATTCGTGAGCTTTATGTGACTATCTCATGGTATGTCTAAGCCGATTGGTGCTATTTTAGGGAGAATTAATCCGTAATGGTTGAAAAGCCATTACCATTTTGTGTTGGAGTTTTGGTGTGTGCTTAGGTGAAAAGATAGATAAAATGGCAGCACTGGAACTTCCGAAGCAGGAGATGGCGGGAGGAATTGGATCCAGGTTTCTTCAACAACAAGTCATTAGGCTAAAACCCAATTGATGGAGGGACACGGACTGGGCTCAAGGCCCAGCTGGATTGGGATCAAGAGATAAGTGGCGGGCTGAAGGGGTGAAGGGAATTGGACGGACGGAACTCAGTTGGGGGAGAATTAATTTTGGAGGAGGAATTCTTTAGCAGGGGAATTTTTGGGCCCAAAATGGTCGGTCTCTAGTGACTAGTGAGGCGGCTGGGGACACGGAGAAGGGGATTCTTTTTGGAGAAGAAAAGCTACGCTAAGGGTGGAATTATTCTGGGAGAAAAAGTCTCGGAGCTGGAGGCAAATTAATTGGAAGCGACAGAATTCTTTTGGAAGAGAATAGAAAGTAGGCGCAGCGGAGAAAGGCAGTAGCGCAGCGAGCTTGGGACGCGAGCGACTATTGGCAATTAGCGATAAGTTTTTCCAAGGCTTGAGCTGAGTTCAACGAGAGCGATTAGTTGGTTGGATTTTCTGAACCAAATTAGTTGTTATTTGTTGATTTAGAACATGATGATCAAAACCCTAATATTTTATCACAATTTTGTCATGAACTAAACCCCGATTTCTGGGGGAAACACCATAGGATGTAGCTATTTCTTGATTTGATGGATTGATTCATGATTCTTTTCTTCCAATCTCTATTGCATGAAATTACTTAATGCTTTGTGTTGACTGGCCACCAATACATTGATTTGTAGTTAATTAGGTTATTAGCGACAGTGAAACCCTAATGACTGAATGATGCTCTAAAACACAACTCCTAACAAAGGCCAAGTGTAACCAATGAAAGGGACTGCAGTATAGTGGCTCAAGTGATAAATATCGAATCCACGGGTCTCTAGAGTTACTATTACTCAACTTCAGTTTATTATTTAGCAAATCAGATTAAGATGAAAGAACTAAAACTACTCTAGCAAACTACAGTTAAAGTTAATCTAATTACAGGTTGGGAACTCACTTAGGTATGATTCCCCCTAGCCACTAGCCAGATTAATGATTGATGATCTCTAACCTGTTTCACTTTCATTCACAATGCGGAGAATCCTTGACTAGACCTTGAGTCTCGACTAAAGGAACAAGGCCCTCTTGAGTCAATTGCCTAGAGGGACGTATCCTTCTCTAGAACAACTGATCAAGGCGTTCTGAACTAGACTCCCTCTATCGAAAGGGGTTCTCAATCGATACAAATCAGTGAATCAACCCTCGACTAAAGCAATCGATCCACTACTATCAATCTATGGTGCTCTATTGACCTAATCAGGTATTCCCTCTCATAGGATCAAAGCAGAATCAATAATCTCGACTAAAGCAGAATTGAATCATGAAAACATGCATAGATTGAATATGAACTCAAGATTATCAAGTCAGAGTACTCATACAATCATCCAATCAAACAAACATAGCTAGGGTTCCTCAAAACCTAAGTGAAGGGAAGTTACTCCATAGAGAAGAGAGAGACTGCAGTAAGAATCTTCAGATGATCAGTCTTCAAGTCCGGGCTTGTTCCTCGAGCTTCCAAGGCGAAGAAATCCTCCTTCTCTACTCCAAGAATGCCCTCAAATCGCCCTCTCTCTCTAGGGTTCGTCCCTTGGGTGTTTGGGATCCAAAAACCCAGCTCTCCTCTTCTTTGGTTCGGAATTTGGCTTAAAACCAGGAAATCCCGACTCGCACGGCCAGGGTGAACGGCCGTGCATATCACCATTCTGGCCGTGCAACTCAAAACGCAGTGTGTCATTTAGTCGAACTTCAGCCCTCTCGCACGGCCAGGGTGCACGGCCGTGCGAGCTTCAGGGGTTGCCCGTGCGTGTCCTCGGCATAAGGCGCACGGCCATATTGCTCACGTGCACGGCCGTGCAGCCTCCCTGGTCTGCCCGTGCAGCTTGCTCAGCCTCTGTTTAATGCTTCGTTTCTCCCTCGTCCGGACTCCGAATCAGTCGCCGTTTGATCCCAGACGCTCGTAGTCTCGTCCTCTTTCGTTTCATAACAAGCTTGCATGCTTCTTTGTCCATAAAGTGAGGTAGAAATCCATTCTTCTTCAGGTCATGCCCGAGTTTCCTCTCTCGAATCGTCAATTGATCTCTGATTGACTTGAAACTTGCGCCTATGCTTCACTTTATGTGCTAGGACCTGAAATGGGACAAAGGAACACAACCTAGCATAAAATAGGCCACAACACACGAATATGCCCCTCAAACGGATAAGAACTAGGGGCGCAAACATGTGCAATTACATCGTTATCAAACTCCCCCACACTTAACCGTTTGCTTGTCCCCAAGCAAACCTAACTCAAACCAATGCAACTCTCCAGACCTCTATAGCAACAAACAACCTAGATCGTAGGTAGAGGACTTCCTAGATCATTTAGCAGCTTACGAGGTCAACCGACGCACAAGTCATCTCATAGCTTCTTCAGTCAGTCGGCATCATGGCAAACAGTGAACAGAGGACAAATGAATTGTGGATGAAGAGATTCTCAAAAACAAAAGATCATGGACTCACATTTTTCAAAGTGCTCGATTTTCTTTGAAGATGGTTGGAACCCCTTTTTTCTGTTTTGCTTGTTTTCTGTTATTTTTCTTTTCTTTTTTTCTTTTCAAGGGTCCCAACCTGCTCTTACCGGCCATGCCAGGAGCGGATGTCTCGAGCCTCGTGCGGGGGAAAGACATGTAAGGGGGCTGGAGGTAGTAGGTGGAAATTGGGAACGGATTCCCGTCTCCCCTTACACACTTTCGCCCTATTCGCACGGGAGACGTTTATTTTGAAGCACATTTTCGAGCACCTGTTATTTTCAAAACATGATACAAGAGTCCATGACAGGTAGAAAATCCACAACACCACACAATTCAAGGGTCCTAAGATCACTAATTCACTCAATCAACCAACTTTATATGAAGAAGAAATGAGACTTCTTAAATGCATCAACATCCTCCATAGTGCTACACTACCTCCCTAGGTTGCATATTACTGTAAAGACTGTCAATTCAAAGCATACTGAGCAGGCAATTGCATGGAACACGTACTTGGAGCCCTCAAATTTAAAAATTTGGACAGTGGACTAGGCTCCAAGCACACAAACAGCCAAACATTCACCCGCATAAATAATCGAACATCCCCCCACACTTAAGCACGACATTGTCCTCAATGGAGGAAAGATAAGGAGGGTAGAACGAAGTTACCAGATCAATGGTGAATGATGATGTACGGGTCAGGCGGTGCATTCCAGAAAGAGAGAGTAATCAGAACACAAACACCACACAAAATCTCACAAAGGTTGAGTTATTGACTCTAAAATCAAATAGCAAACTGACTCAACCGAGGAGAAATAGAGACAGAAATGCAAACCGACTGGTTGGGTTGCCTCCCAACAAGCGCTTCTTTCACGTCGTGAGCCGGACGATGGCTCCTAAGTTTCGGTCCATGCTAGAACCTCCTTGAAGTTGAGGTTCTCGTCGATGAGGTGGAGTCTCAAGTCACGAGCATGTGGTGTGGCAGGTGATGAAGGCTCATGTACTTGATGCAGATGAAGTCTCCACCCTCGAGACCTCTTCTTCTCTTCTCTCGTCTCATTGCCCCAAACCAGATATGACAACATCGATTGGCCACCATCGCGTCCACCAAGAGGAACCGATGTCGATGTGGCCTTGGTCTGGCAAAGAGACACTGCAAATGGGTCCTTGCTAAGCAGTTCCTCGAAGTTTGGTGGAGATATCACCTGTAACTCATGGCCGGTGCAAGCCTCTTCCACCTCAACTTCGTCCTCAGCCTGGACGCCAATCGCCTCTTCAACCTCCCTTCCTTCTTCATGTGGTATCACCCTTGGGAAATGATCAAGAACTCCTCCAGCTTCACTTTCGTCATCCTCCACAACTTCTTTCTGCACCCTTTCTTGCTCTTCTTCTTCTAGCACGGATTGGAGAGCAAGTTGCCAAGCAATTTCTTTCATGAGATCTTCCTGCATCTCCTCACTCATGCCCGCCTCTTCAAAGCTCAGTTTGGGGTGTGGGAAGGTGTGGTCGGCTACGACATGACACGCCTGATCATGATCATCACGGGAGCTCTCCGTGACAACTTCAGTGTGTTCCACAATGCCCTTGTAGCCTTCTTCTTCCTCCTCCTCTTCTTGTAGGGTAGCAGAAGGGTGATCTGGAGCAGGTTGCGCCCAAGATCGCTCAAGATCATCGACGCTCTTCTTAAGGCTCAGGAGGATCTCATCTGTTTCACGATAGGCCTGGACACACTGATCCATCCTGGAGCATGTTCTCTCACAGTCTCGAGCAAACTGCTCCATGAGTAACTCCAGTGCCGATGGCCCTTCTGGTTGTGGGAGAAATTCTTCTTGATAATGAGGTTGTTCTTGATATGCCCAGGGGTCCGGTTGTTCTCCGTAGTAAGGGGGTTGGTACTGGAACCCGAATCCATAGTCTTCTCCGCCTTGATTGCTCCAGGGAGTCTCGGGGTAATACCACCCAGATGGTGGTGGATACCCCCAATGATTGGAGAAGCCATTAGGATCCATGATTCAGATCTGCACCAACAAAAACAAAAACACCCAAGTGAAAAGCAAGGGTGGAAAAGAAAAGAAACGAAAAACGCTAAAGTAACAAACTTCTGCCTTTCCTAATACTCTAGAAAGTCCCCGGCAACGGCGCCAAAAACTTGATGCTCTAAAACACAACACCTAACAAAGGCCAAGTGTAACCAATGAAAGGGACTGCAGTATAGTGGCTCAAGTGATAAATATCGAATCCACGGGTCTCTAGAGTTACTATTACTCAACTTCAGTTTATTATTTAGCAAATCAGATTAAGATGAAAGAACTAAAACTACTCTAGCAAACTACAGTTAAAGTTAATCTAATTACAGGTTGGGAACTCACTTAGGTATGATTCCCCCTAGCCACTAGCCAGATTAATGATTGATGATCTCTAACCTGTTTCACTTTCATTCACAATGCGGAGAATCCTTGACTAGACCTTGAGTCTCGACTAAAGGAACAAGGCCCTCTTGAGTCAATTGCCTAGAGGGACGTATCCTTCTCTAGAACAACTGATCAAGGCGTTCTGAACTAGACTCCCTCTATCGAAAGGGGTTCTCAATTGATACAAAGCAGTGAATCAACCCTCGACTAAAGCAATCGATCCACTACCATCAATCTATGGTGCTCTATTGACCTAATCAGGTATTCCCTCTCATAGGATCAAAGCAGAATCAATAATCTCGACTAAAGCAGAATTGAATCATGAAAACATGCATAGATTGAATATGAACTCAAGATTATCAAGTCAGAGTACTCATACAATCATCCAATCAAACAAACATAGCTAGGGTTCCTCAAAACCTAAGTGAAGGGAAGTTACTCCATAGAGAAGAGAGAGACTGCAGTAAGAATCTTCAGATGATCAGTCTTCAAGTCCGGGCTTGTTCCTCGAGCTTCCAAGGCAAAGAAATCCTCCTTCTCTACTCCAAGAATGCCCTCAAATCGCCCTCTCTCTCTAGGGTTCGTCCCTTGGGTGTTTGGGATCCAAAAACCCAGCTCTCCTCTTCTTTGGTTCGGAATTTGGCTTAAAACCAGGAAATCCCGACTCGCACGGCCAGGGTGCACGGCCGTGCATATCACCATTCTGGCCGTGCAACTCAAAACGCAGCGTGTCATTTAGTCGAACTTCAGCCCTCTCGCACGGCCAGGGTGCACGGCCGTGCGAGCTTCAGGGGTTGCCCGTGCGTGTCCTCGGCATAAGGCGCACGGCCATATTGCTCACGTGCACGGCCGTGCAGCCTCCCTGGTCTGCCCGTGCAGCTTGCTCAGCCTCTGTTTAATGCTTCGTTTCTCCCTCGTCCGGACTCCGAATCAGTCGCCGTTTGATCCCAGACGCTCATAGTCTCGTCCTCTTTCGTTTCATAACAAGCTTTCATGCTTCTTTGTCCATAAAGTGAGGTAGAAATCCATTCTTCTTCAGGTCATGCCCGAGTTTCCTCTCTCGAATCGTCAATTGATCTCTGATTGACTTGAAACTTGCGCCTATGCTTCACTTTATGTGCTAGGACCTGAAATGGGACAAAGGAACACAACCTAGCATAAAATAGGCCACAACACACGAATATGCCCCTCAAACGGATAAGAACTAGGGGCGCAAACATGTGCAATTACATCGTTATCACTGAACATATTTCATGTGACATAGTAACTTATCGAAGCGACAGTGGATTAAATAAGGTACTATGCGGTCTTGATTGTGATATCAATCTTCAGACTAAATAATTAACTCATTGAGCTACGACAGTAGGATTTGAATTAATTTCTTAGTATGTAGTAATTCCCGACAGGGATAGCTAGCACAGTAGGGATATCCTGGCTGTAGAGATATGGATTAAATTGATTGGAATATGTGAATTAATTTGGATATGATAGGTAGTGAATCCCAGTGTTTCTCCCAGAGCTTTCTCCCATTGATTTTCTCCCGACCATTTTACTTTGCTTAATTAGTTTAATTATTTTTCTAGTAGTTTCATCACTCAAACCATTTTCACTTATAGTTTGCTCCATAAATTTATAAAACTTTAGATTGTACCAGTCCCTGAGAGACGATACCCTGACTTTCCGGTTTACTACGAGATAGGAATTTGGCATATACGCTTTTGCCCTACCAAGTTTTTGGCGCCGCTGCCGGGGACTGCCATACCTTATTTTTGTTGATTTTTGTGAGTGAACTATTTTGATCTGTGTGTTAGTGTGCAGAAGAATTTTTCAGGTGTATCCTCCTTGTGCATGCCAAGGAGGACGACCGAAAATTTAGTGCCACTTGATCCAGAGATAGAGAAGACCTGCCGACAGAACAGGAAGCAGGTCAATTTAGGGAAGCAGCCAACCACAACTACTAGGCCTTCCCTAACCCAGAGAGGGCAGGCTTCATCACCTGTCGTCCCTACACCACCGACAACACCACCTCGTGACATTGAGCCAGACATCATGGCAGACGAGGATCGATCAATCAGGGCTCGTTTGAAAAGGTATTTCTCGATAAATACTTCCCACCTGCCTTGGCAATGAAGAGGCAAGAAGAGATTGTTACTTTTAAGCAGGCTGATGATGAGAGTCTGACTGAGGCATGGGAGCGCTACAAGGGGCTGTTGATGAGATGCCCAAGCCATGGTCTTGAAGATTGGAACGTGATCATTATTTTCTTCAATGGAATCAGAAGGGAGTTTCGGGATGCCCTAAATAATGCTTCTCTAAATGGTTTCACAAGGATGGAGGCTCCAGCAGCATATGAACTGGTAGAGAAGATCTGTTCAGAAGCCACTGAATGGGGTAGTGAGACCAGTATTCGAAGGAGAGGAGGCTTGCATGAGATAGACAGAGTTGCAAGTTTAGAAGCAAAGATTGATGCTAAGCTGGATTCCAAGTTCGATGCACTCGAACGAAGGCTGGCAAAGATTGCTCTGGGTAGACAAGAGGAGGTTGTTTCATGTGAACTTTGCGAGGGTCCTCATCACAGGGATATGTGTCCACTGGGAGCTGCTCAGTTGGAAGATGTCCAATACATCAATAATCCGCGAAGTCAAGGCCAGGGTGGTATGTATTCAAATACATATAACCCTCAATGGAGACATCACCCCAACATGTCATGGTCGAATAATAATCCAGCTGGTGTCCTAAACATCCCACCTCCTGGTTTTCAACAACAGCAACCTCAACCAGAGAAGAAGCCCCAGCTGGAGGAGTTGATTTTGGCTCATATGCAGAAAACAGATAATAATTTCAAGGGTCTTGATCAATTTTTCACTCAACAGCTAGCCATCAACAATAATATGCAATCATCTATGCTAGCTATGGAGAGGCAAATAGGCCAGATGGCTCAAACTTTGGCAGATATTCAAGGTAGGATTCCCGGGACTTTACCAGCAAATACCGAGAGGAATCCGAAGGATGCCATGGTTGTAGCTGTCACATTGAGGAGTGGAAAGGCCTTGGAGGATCCACAGAGTCCAAGGAAGTCGACAAAATCCGAAAAGGAAGGAGTTACAGAGGTAGAGAATGAAGAAAGTGCAAAAGCTGAAAAATCTGACTTGCACAGGCAAACTGCATGCAATCTGCCTGTGCATGAGCATTCTGCCCGTGTACCTCAAAAAGTGGAAAAATTGAGGAAGGAAGAGGTAAAGCCTTATGAACCTCCCACACCATTCCCTCAAAGGTTAATGAAGCCCATGGAAGACCCAAACTTCAAAAAATTTGTGAATATCTTCAAGCAACTTCATATCAACATACCATTAGCGGAGGCACTTGAACAGATGCCTACATATGCTAAATTCTTAAGGGAGTTGCTGACAAAGAAGTGTAAATGGGCTGATCTAGAGAAGGTAACCCTTACTTCTGAATGTAGTGCCGTGATTCAGAATAAATTGCCAGAAAAGAGGGATGATCCAGGAAGCTTCACCATTCCATGTGCCATTAGAGGTAGAGAGTTTGGTAAATCACTCTGTGATCTAGGAGCAGGCATTAATTTGATGCCATACTCAGTCTACAAGAAAATGGGATTGGGAGATGTTCTTAAGCCTACTCGGATCACTCTCCAATTGGCTGATCGATCAGTGAAAATTCCAAAAGGAGTGGTAGAAAATGTATTGGTGAAGGTGGGGAAGTTTATTCTCCCAACAGATTTTGTTATTCTAGAGATGGAAGAAGATCAGGGAGTGCCTCTAATTCTCGGCAGACCTTTTCTAGCCACTGGCGATGCACTCATCGATGTCGGGAGAGGCAAGTTGACATTCCGAGTAGGTAAGGAGGAGGAAATTTTTAATGTCTTTCAAGTTGACCATAATCACGATGCATTTGATGACTTTGAAAGTGGAGCTCGAGAAAGGGAAAATTCTTCTTCCTGTGATAGTGGACCACCCAAAGAACTATCACATGTCCTAGCAGCTGAAAGTCTGAAATCAAAGCAAGGGCAGAAATCCTTGCCAGGTTACCTCGAGTATCGATATTTGGGTAAGGATTTCAATCTTCCTGTTATTATTCCTTCTTCACTAACATCAAAACAGGAAGAGTACTTGCTTGAGGCGCTGCAATACCACCTACGCCTCACTAAAGGGTCCAACATGCCAGCTAAGAAGGTCATACCAAATTTTCGCACACCTGGCCCTGCAGAGGTGACTCATATGTTGGATGGAGGGTATGCGTTCTATCATTGCTCGGGAGGGTATTCTGGATACCTTTCCATGAACGTCAGGCTGAGGAAGTTAAACAAGCGCTTCTTGGGAGGCAACCCAAGGTAAGTTTTCTTTTCTTTATTTTTCTTTTTCGTTGTGTCAAACCGTGCATGTTTAGATTAGGAGTTGAACATTAGGGACAATGTTCCATCCTGAGTGTGGGGTGGCGAGTCTTAGTGTTTGTTTGTTCCTTTTGTCATGTGGTTGGAAAAAAAAATTGTTTGTTCCTTTTGTCATGTGGTCGGTAAAAAAAAACAAAAAAAAATTGCCATTAGGTTGAGCACAGCCAAACTGCATGCAGTTTGCCTGTGTAATAAGCAGGTTGCCTGTGCAAAGCTAATGGCTAAAAAACATCTAAAAATCAGAAAAATTAAAAACAAAACCTTGTACTCTTGTGGCTACATGATGTAAATGACTGTGATGCCTTGAAAATGAGTTTGTGCTTGAATGAAATCATCAAAATCACCCCACTAGTGTTGAATTGCAAAGTTCTTCACAATGAGCTTGAATGTTTTGACTGACTTGATGTGCTTTGAATGAGCAAACTCTTTTAGCAACACTCTGTTTTGTGAGGATAGTGTAACGACTTTTGGTGAAGTAGTTAGGTGGAGAACATTGACCATTCAACATGTTTGGATACCGTGCTTACTTGCACCTATTGTGAGTTGTTGACTTTGCACTGAGTCTCTCTGTTTTGAATGTTTTAAATGGGGTGAACTGTATCTTTATAAAAGGAAAAAACACTACCTGACAAGTAAAATATAAGAAAGTTGCCATAACAATTAAAGTGTGGGTAAAAATGCCAAAATCGTGTGAGGCAATCACTCATTTCACATGGGGATTAGGAAAGATTCAATTGAGAATCGGTTCGCGACCGTACGATGTTGCTTATCAAGTACAATCCCCAGTTGAGTGAAGTGCCATTTGAGGATGCAATGACCCTCCACACGGACCGAGGAAAAGGAGTTGAAAGAAGCCCTTATGCGAGTGCTAAGAAGCAGAAATTGCTCTTGCTCGGTCACCGGTAGTAATAAACAAATCCCACTTGTACTAAAGACGACCTCTCGGCAAGCAAAATCAGTAAGAGAGACAGCCTCTCCTTGTCATAAAAGGTAGTGAAGTGCTTAAAGTTAAAATCATGTTTGCGAAAGGCTTCCCCCATTAGTTTTTGAGACTCGTGCTTAATTAATTGCTTATGATTGGTGTGAGTAAGCCAGATTGTCCTCACGAGATATGCACCTCACTGATGTGGTTAGATTCTCCTAATAACTGATGCACCATAAGTTGTTAATCACCCGCTACTGACGACCTGAATTGAGTGTTGCTAATTGAGTTTTTGGTGGATTTGAGCCAGTCAATGGTAATGGTTGTAAAGGCCTTGAGTGTGGGGTGGAAGGTATGATCATTAAAGCACAACTTATCCGTTGAAAAAGAAACTACTGATTACATCAAGAGCACAAGGAAAATTTTGTGTTGTTTTGAGTGTTTGAGTGTGGAGTCTGTGGTGTGTCATTGTTTTGGATGATTATGTGTTTGTGTTGTTTGAGTCGTTGCTTAGGGACAAGCAACAATTGAGTGTGGGGTTGACAAAAACTTGATAGGGAAAAAGTGTATATGCCAAATTCCTATCTCGTAGTAAACCGGAAAGTCCGGGTATCGTCTCTCAGGGGCTGGTACAACCTTAAGTTTTATAAATTTATGGAGCAAACTATAAGTGAAAATGGTTTGAGTGATGAAACTACTAGCAAAATATTTAAACTAATTAAGCAAAGTAAAATGGTCGGGAGAAAATCAATGGGAGAAAGCTCTAGGAGAAACACCGGGATTCACTACCTATCATATCCAAATTAATTCACATATTCCAATCAATTTAATCCATATCTCTACAACCAGGATATCACTACTGTGCTACCTATCAAGACCGGAATTACTACATACTAAGCCATTAATTCTAATCCTACTGTCGTAGCTCAATGAGTTAATTATTTAGTCCGAAGATCGATATCCCAATCAAGACCGCATAGTACCTTATTTAATCCACTGTCGCTTCGATAAGTTACTATGTCACATGAAATATGTTCAGTAATTAGGGTTTCACTGTCGCTAATAACCTAATTAACTACAAATCAATGTATTGGTGGCCAGTCAACACAAAGCATTATGTAATTTCATGCAATAGAGATTGGAAGAAAAGAATCATGAATCAATCCATCAAATCAAGAAATAGCTACATCCTATGGTGTTTCCCCCAAAAATCGGGGTTTAGTTCATGACGAAATTGAGATAAAATATTAGGGTTTTGATCATCATGTTCTAAATCAACAAATAACAACTAATTTGGTTCAGAAAATCCAACCAACTAATCGCTCTCGTTGAACTCAGCTCAAGCCTTGGAAAAACTGATCGCTAATTGCCAATAGTCGCTCGCGTCCCAAGCTCGCTGCGCTACTGCCTTTCTCCGCTGCGCCTACTTTCTATTCTCTTCCAAAAGAATTCTGTCGCTTCCAATTAATTTGCCTCCAGCTCCGAGACTTTTTCTCCCAGAATAATTCCGCCCTTAGCGCAGCTTTTCTTCTCCAAAAAGAATCCCCTTCTCCGTGTCCCCAGCCGCGTCACTAGTCACTAGAGACCGACCATTTTGGGCCCAAAAATTCCCCTGCTAAAGAATTCCTCCTCCAAAATTAATTCTCCCCCAACTGAGTTCCGTCCGTCCAATTCCCTTCACCCCTTCAGCCCGCCACTTATCTCTTGATCCCAATCCAGCTGGGCCTTGAGCCCAGTTCGTGTCCCTCCATCAATTGGGTTTTAGCCTAATGACTTGTTGTTGAAGAAACCTGGATCCAATTCCTCCCGCCATCTCCTGCTTCGGAAGTTCCAGTGCTGCCATTTTATCTATCTTTTCACCTAAACACACACCAAAACTCCAACACAAAATGGTAATGGCTTTTCAACCATTACGGATTAATTCCCCCTAAAATAGCACCAATCCGCTTAGACATACCATGAGATAGTCACATAAAGCTCACGAATCCGATATATTTAAGCCGATTAAAACATACCCTACTTCAGGTTTAGGGTTCATTATCTAGCCAACCTAGGGTAGTGATTAATAAAGCTAAACTAACTAACCTAGACTAACCACTAACCTAGCTATTTACAAGGTTTGGAGATGTCTTGGGTTGAATCGTCCTAGGTCCGTTCTTTGGATCGATGTTGGGTATCCTCCTAGCTCGATCTACACAAGTACACTTACATTTGGAGATGGACTCCCTCGGGAATGACGCTGAACGGCGAATCGATGGATGGGTAGTGCTCTATTCAACCTAGGGTTTCGTATAATGCTAGGAGACCGGTCGAATCAACTCCCTCGGGGACTACCCAAACAATATACGATAGGAGTGACCCGAAAACGCCGAAAGGGGGCTCTAAGGGGATTGTCTCCCTCCTAGGTCAAAAGCTCAATACATGAAAATGGAAACCCAACTCATGTCATTCATGAAAACATCCATCAATTAAGTAAAATCATTAATCAATCATGGATTTTGTCACATACATCAACATTAAACCCAATTCTAGACCTAGGGTTCTTAAACCTAATAGTAGAGGGTGAGTTTCTAGAGAGAGGAGAGATTACAAAGAAACCTCTAGATCTTCTTCTTCTTCTAGGCTTGATTTCTAGCTTCCAAGCTTGATCAATGCCTTCAATTAAGCACCAAGATCAGTCCATCTCTCACTAGAACTCCTCTTTGGTGTTTTGGGTTGAAACCCTAGAGAAAGAAAGTGTTCCTTCTCCAAAAACTAGCTCCCCTTTCTCTCTCCCCACTGTTGTCTTCATATTTGCCCGAAAGTGACCAGTTCACTACCGCGTTGGACAGTTCACGGCCGTGAACACCTAAACGCGTCCGTGAACTCAGTGTCGTCTCCTAAACGCACCGCTTCACTCTCCTAGGTTCATGGTTCCCTTGGTGTCAGTAACTTCTGGAACCTCGCTGGACGCCTCGATTTGCACGGTTTGTGGTTCCAGTTCACGTCCTTAGAGACCGTGAACTCCAATGCTATGCCGTGAACTGCGGCTGCTTCCTGGACGCCTGCGCTTCACTGTTACGACTTTGGACTTTTCTTCAGTTTTTGCGCTTTTTGAACTCCAATCGTCCCGAATTCGTCCTTGACCCTTCCACACGTGCTAGGACCAGAAATGTATCAAAACAAGCACAACCTAGCGTGAAATATGTCGAGGGACGATGAAATGCAAAGCCAAACTATCAAAAAATGAGGGGTAAAATGTATAAAACTGGGGGAGGGAATGGCGAAGCCGGTAATTTTGGGGAGTGGGCACGTTGCTGGGCGGTGCGCCGCACGAGCAAGCGAGAGCGGCTTTCCCGTGCGCGGCGCACCATCCAACAACTGTATTTTTTGTTTAATTGATAATTAATAAGGGGAATTAATTAAGGGGAATGTGTTATGATTAATTAAGCGAATGAGAATTCATGTTTATATTTTTTTTAGGTTTCTTTAATTTGTGTTTAATATTTTGTTTTATTTGTTTTATTTGATAAAATGACTTAAATTAAATTTTTTCTATTTCAAATTTATGTTTATCATCTTGAAGTTGTGTGTACCAAGCAAAACAATGACTAATTATTTCCATTCAAGTTCCAAATATGCTCGACCAAGTCCTGACGAAGCCCATGATGTGTTGCTGCAACACGAAGCCTTTTATTCCTAGCCAAGTACTCAGTTAGGGTTGAAATATCTCTGGTGGCATTAGTTGGTTGTTGGTAGTGGACCTCATAATCAAGACTATCTTCCATTTCATCATCAGAACCAACCTGCTCATCCTCGATAATCACGTTGTGCAATATAATGCATGGTAACATCCCAAGATCTTGCTAGGCCACAAACGATCTAGCTTGAAGAATTCAAAAGGCCCGTTCTACGTCTTTTCGATGTGCTTCTTGACATCGAGCAAACAAGTCTTTTTTTGTTTGAGCTTGGATTGCTGAATGTTTTCACTAAAGTTGACCACAAAGGATAAATATCATCATCCAAATAATAACATTGATCATATGTATGACCGTTTGCCTCAAATCGTACTTGTGGAGCGAATCCATTGAGGATACGGTCAAACACCGGAGACATTCCCAAAACATTCATGTCGTTCGACCCAGGTACGCCGAAGAAAGCATGCCATATCCAGGTGTTGTATGAAGCCATTACCTCGAGAATGATTGTTGGTTTATTATTGTGCTTCAGGTACTGCTCAATCCAAGAAGTAGGACTGTAACCACTGTTGCTCTGCAGATTAGGATATAGGAGAATTCGACAATGCAAGAAACGAAAGCACACACGACATACGATCTACGTGGTTCACTAACACTATGTGTGTTAGCTAGTCCACGGGCAGTTTCAATATACTTCGAGAAGATACATATTATAGAGGCGTATGAGAAATATTTATAGTACTTC